ATTTTCAGTTTTTACTTGTAGGATTGTGAGGAAAAACAAGTTGTAAATGTTGAAGCACTATATAAATGTGAACTCTAATTATTTCTGCTGTTCATCAATAGTACCAGGGTTAGCAGAGTAAAGAATGTCAGTTACTTTATAAATGTTAGCTATTATTATCATCATATTAAATAATGTAATTTGAAAACTAACCCATACTATTGTTTAAGTTCTTAACTTTAACCACCAGGGGGTGTTGTTGTTTGTTTTTTGTACTGAGTGAAGCCAGATGACATCCTGATATTGGGGTCAAGGTACATCTCTTCCCAGTGTTGTTGTTCATCCTTCATTCTAGTTCTGGAAGAGGACCAATGATATCATGAGGCTGATGTCTTGACTTTCATGTGAATTGGATTTAAGTGAGGCAGAGTTGTGCAAAGGTATCAGCCTTGCTCTCTATTCCAGAGTCATTGAAATTCAAAGGCAAGACAAAAATCAAGATGATCAGCAATGGCTCAGGATGCAATGGATGACCTTGGTGTCTGATGTCTGGCCAACCTCTTACAACTCCATAGCACCTGCTTCTGCCAACTTCATGGCCCATTGGAATAAATTGTTCTCATCTGCTCATTCTGATGGAAGAAGTTTTCACATGTTGCAGTAGACATACCCTAATGGATTTGAGGCCCCTCTGTTACCCTGAACCTGGTTTAGCCTTTCTGGCAAGATGGTTTTACCAAAGTGTGGCCACTGTGCATGCTATGACTTGTTGCAGTCACAAGTGAGAGGTGGGTAACAGGTAGACATCAAAGGTGGATGAGCAGCCATGAAAAGGGCTCAGCAAGCCCACACACAAGAGGTGCTAGTTCTCTTTGAATACCCCATACACCCCTGCCAGGGGATATAGTTTCCAACTGCCTGACTGTTTGTTGATGAGTCAAATGCTGGCAGTCCCATGCTCACTTCAACAGTTGAGTGCTCCCAGCAATGCCATAGGGTGGTGTAGTTTTCTTCAGTTCTCAGAGAATTAGTTACTTCTGTATCTTAGCTCAGGAATGTGCTGGAGCCAGCTCAAACAAGCTAGGGAGAACTGATTATTAAATTTTCATTGTGAGCATTATACTTTGGAAATGGGCAAATGTTACAAATCAGGGCTTAAGTTATTGTTTTGTTGATCATCTAGAGTCTCTAGACTTAAGAAAGTGACAGAGAAAATGTTAATAATGCAGATTCAACTTTAAAATGTGTCACATGTACACTTCCCCCCAGAGATCCAGTTGTTGAACATTTTTGAGCACAATCCTATTCTTTTTTTGATCACAGATATGTATAGGTGATATGGATTTTTTAGATTTATCCAATTAGACTCTTATTACTCATGGTGCTCCTATCCATCAGAAAACTCTAGGCTTGTCCTTTCAGTGATGTTTTTATGGACTTTTTACACACACACACACACACACACACACACACACACACACACACGGAATATGATAGAGCCAGTCACACAAGGAAGCATATTGTTCTTTTCATATATGGAAAAAAAGAAACACCAAATATATAAAAAACAACCACTGTGAGGACTGAAAGCTCATAGCTCACCTCAAATCTAGTTAACCCAAACCAGTGCTATAGGTATGTCCTCAAATTCAGGAATTAAAGGAACACAGTTCAGATGCTTAAATTTAGATAGCATCCAAAGAAAACTCAGGCATGTAAGAGACTTAGTTTAGAGACTTAGATTTAGACCTCCTCAATTCAACTGTTGTTGGCAGGGGCAAAGGGAAGTGCGGTGCAATATTGGTAATTTGGAATCAGCCACTCAAGAAGTCCCCAACAGCATAGCACTGGAGACATCAGTTGAATCCTCCCTTTCTCACTCACTGTGCTGCTGGCTAGAGCAGGACTATAAATGGTTTTTGCTCTACTTGACACTAGCAGGTTCCAGGGAAAGACTTGGCACAGGAAATGGTTGGCCCAAGTTACACAGTCCACTTCCAAGAAGTCTGGTAAGAACACAAACAAAATGTCTCTCCCTCAGCTCCATCTTCTAAAGTCCCCTCTCTGTTCTTCTCAAATTTACACATAGTCTATGACCTAGATCACTTCCATTTCATGTCTATTCCTCTGTTGTCTCAGAAGCCCAGAGGAAGCTCTGTGGGCATACTCACCTTCAGGGGGTGAGAACTCATCAGTTACAACACCTAATGTAATTGTTCAGTTGTTTTACAGGAGGTGGTCTTGTTTGAGCAACAGGCAAGGATGCTGGTGTCACTGGATCACAGAGTATATGGTAGGGAGTTAAGGTGTAAGAAGTCTGGGAAAGTAAAGGCTTTGAATGCCAAACAAAGGATGTTTGATCCTAGAGGTGATAGGGAGCCATGGGAATTTACTGAATTTTATTGTTGTTCAGTCTTTTTCAGTCATATCTGACTCGGTGACCCCATTTGGGATTTTCTTGGCAAAGATCCTGGAGTGGTTTACCATTTCCTTCTCCAGCTCATTTTACAGATGAGGAAATGGGGGCAAACATGGTTAAGTGACTTGTCCAGGGTCACATACCTAGTAAGTGTCTAGGGCCAGATTTGAACCCACTTCCTCCTGATTCCAGGCCCAGTGTTCTGTCTGCAACACCTAACACAGAAGTGTTAACCAGAAAACTTCCAGTAACAAATGAAAGCACAGAGTAGAGCTATTTCCTTATTTCTAAAATGAAGGTATTAGACTAAATGCCAAGGCTTTAAAATTTAGATTCTATGCTCTTCAGAACCTCAGGGGTAGTTTCTTCCTCACACCTTCAAACAGGTTGCTTTTTTTCAGTATGGTATAGCTATCCCTTCATTATTTATTTTTATTTTATGTGGTCTGTTTCTGCAAAATGTATGTTATGTTTTGGTCTGCTGAAAATTAACTATTGTTTGCAATTTTCCTAGGGAAAAGTAGTATTAGGGTCTTTTAAAATCGTTCATATGATTTCATTTTACTCGGATCTTTGTTTATACTCTAAGCTTATCTGAGAAATGAAAAACCCAGAACTAAGGCATTTATCCTTTATAATTTAATAATAATGAGTCTTAGTTTAATATACTTTTGTAGTATGAGCACTGACCTCCAAATATTTTCTTCCTGTCCTTTCCTTCACTTTTTCTAGAAGAAAACTAATACTAGTAGATTCATAAAATAACTGTATATTGCAGTTTTATATTTCAGGAAAAAAAACGGAGGCAAAGAAAAATCGACATTTTTAACAGCTTTAATTAGAATCTGGGTGTTGATATGTAAATAAATATTGAATGTGACTTGCCTACTCAATATATTCTGAAATATTCTGCCATTTTCTTTTGGCGCAGATAGAAATGAATAGAGCAGTGTTTTTAGATTGCTCAAATCATTTTTCTTAATGGTGCATATGTGCCATTTTCTATAAATTAACCGCCACTGGGAGATGTACAATGCTGAACATGTAATTGTGGTGCACTAAGCCGAGTGGAAATGTGATGCAATACTTCAGTGCAAGTTGCCTTATAAAAATGATGTCATTTAATGCAGGTGTAATCACTTTAAAAACACAAGACTGCGCCCATCCTCCCACCATCTCCTCCTTTCTCCTTCTGCCTTTCTCTTACACTCCAGTCCAGTTGCTAAAAGAGATTTTATGCTCGTTCCTATAAGACGAACAGCCGCTTGTCTCATCGGTACCCGTAGGGGGCTACCCAATGTGGAATGACAAACATCTTTGCTCCTGGCGAACAGACCTTTGCCCACTTGCACAGGAGACAAGGGTCCGGTGCATACACGCAGATCGTGGTAGCATCCCAAAGAAAACAAACGTCTGCTAGTTTTAAAGCCAACGTAGAGGCCCCTAAGGACGCTACTCAGACGGGGCTCGGCAAGCGGTGAAACCAACAGTGCCCCTTGGAGAGGGTCACCGGCTCCAGTCCGTCATCCCGGGGCTCCCCAGGGATCTGGGCTGAGGTTGGAGGATGGGGGCGGCCCGACCTTATTTATTTGGTAATGGATCATTAATTACGACGGCCTTTTACAAAGGCCCAGAAGGATAGGAGTGGAGAGGATGTGGGGGAATCGCAGGCGGGGACTTGATGACGGTATGATACGTTGGCCGGCGCCAGCCCAGTCCCATCTGCTCAGGGTCCGGTTACTCCCGAGCCTGGTCAGGTTAGTGCTTCTGGCCCACAGGTGGCGGTGGCGGCGGCTGCGGCGGAAGTGACGCACGCGCGGTGCCCGGCGTTAGAAAGAAAGATGGCGGCGCTGGCGCTGGACCAGGGGGAAGGTAAACACCGGTCAAGGCTGCTGTTGTTGCTCTGGGGAAACTAATCTATCTTCCTTCCGACCTCTTTCACAGCCTCACGGGCCTTCCGGGAATGGAAGAGTGAAGGGGGACAGGGGATGCCTCCCCTCCTTCCTCCTGCTGTTCCCCACCCCCTTCCCTTCCTCCCTCCACCCGTCGCGGGTTTCACCCTGGGAGTCTCTGTCTCCGCCGCGGAGACGGACAGACCCGGCTGACGGGCAGGCGGACGGACGGACCGAGCGGCGGACGGACTGAGCAGCCGCGGGCCGGGGGAGGCCTCGGCCGTTCTCAGGCAGGGCCCCGCGGCGGCTGCCCGCTTCGGTTCGGGCCCACAGTAACCGGGGCGGGGGGGAGTAAGCGGCGGCGCGGGGAGGAGCTCGCCCTCCCGGCGCGGCCGAGCCCGGACCCCCGAGGGAGGCGCGGGAGGCGCGGGGACAGGGCGCGCGCTGCCGGGGCCCGGGCGGGCGCCTCCCCTTCCCGCCTCCCCCCCCCAGCCCCGGGCCCTCCGCCCCCGGCTGCTTGTGAGCCTCCCCACCCCCCCCAAGTTGGGTTACTCCTGCAGGTATTGCCGTTATTGTCGTTACTCGCCCCTCGGAAGCGATGCTGGTGTCCCCGGGGCGAGGACGTGGGGGGGACACCCCGGGAGACTGAATGGTTTGTTTATCCCCAGGGCAGGGACGGCGGGGGCCGCAGCCACCCCAGCAGCCGGCGCGCAGGCTCCCCCCACGCTGGCCTCCTCGAGGTGCCCCGGCCCCGTCCTGGAGGGAGGAGCCCCTCTAGAGGTGCGAGGAGGAGGAGGAGGAGGAGGAGGAGGGATCCGTCTTCATGGCCTCCACAGCCCTGGGTCTTCCCTCTTCGGCCGAATCCGGGGACGCCAATTAATACCAATGGCGGAGGTGCTTTTCCTGATGCAGACGCCAGTCCACTCGTAACTGGACCCAGACCACCAAGGTGTGTATTCTGTCTCACCTACCCAGGCTGTGAGAGATGAGTTAATAGAAAGCAGGAGCTCAGGAAACCTCAGTGGCTCTGCCCTTTTGAAATATTTCTGTAATAATCTTGTTAGAACTAGGTTTCTTGACTATATTGGATTCATAGCTTCTGTTATGTTAAGACCTAAATTTATCATTACCTTTGTGTTCATTAAAATTGTTCAGAAATTTTTTTGGGCTTATATTTCCTGTTATGAAAGCACTTTTTTTTTTTTTTTTAAAGCAAAGGCCCTTAGCTGAAGAGTAGCTTTTCTTAGGAATGATGTGAAATTGCCACATATATTTAAATGATGGTTAGTAGGAAGCTTTTTAAGTGTATTTAAATTCTAAAGGATATGTCTTTTCCTCCTTTTTATTTTGATATTTTAATATATAGGAAAGCAAAGTAATGTTGTATAGATAGGTGGTAAGTTTTTGCTTGACTTTTACCTCATGCCCATTGTCTCCCATAATTCCAGATGTTTTATGCTCCACCTTTCCTCTCTGTTACAGCCAAGCTAACTTTCTTGTTGTTCTCTGAATTTAAGATTTCATCTCTCACCACTGTGCCTTTCCACAGGCTGTCTCCAATGACTGAAATTAATTCTTTCCTAACCTTCAGCTTCTTAGAATTCTGAGCTTCATTTAAGACTCAGCTCACGTGCCATCTCCTATAAGATATCTTTACTGATTTACCCCTTCATCTTTCCCAGTTGTTGTTGCCCTTGTAGCCTTAGAACAGTGCTTTATATATAGTGGCTGCTCATTAAAATTTGCTGACCAAACTGAAGTAGCCAATTAACTCTGATACTTTTTAAAAATTTAATTAGTTTTATATAAAAAAAAGTCAAATTTTCTCTCCCTACCCACTTATCCTCCCCATTGGGGGAAAAAAAAACAACACCAAAGCAAAATGAAACCTTTGTAACAAATATACATAGTCAAGTAAGACAAAAACGAAAACACCAACGTTGCTTTGGCCCTGTTCAAAAATTGTGTCTCCCGCTTGGCACTTTGAGTCCATCACCTCTTTGCCAGGAGGTAAATAGCATGCTTCCTCCTTGGCCCTCTGGAATTGTTGGTCACTTCCTTAACCAGAATTCTTAAGTCTTTCCAAATGGTTTGTCTTTATATGTTGTTATTGTATAATTGTTTTCCTGGTTCTGCTCACTTCACTCTGCATCAGTTCATACAAGTCTTCCCCGATTTCTCTCTTTTTCATCATTTCTTATGGCATAATAGTGTTCCATCACATCCATATTTGACAATTTGTTCAGCCAGGAACCAATTGCTGGACACCCCGTTGGTTTCCAGTTCTTTGCCACTATAAAAAGAGCTGCTGTAATAGACATTTTTATACATTTTTGTCCTCTTCTTTCATTGATCTCTTGGGGTAGTTTGTAATGATATTGTTGGGTCAAAGAGTACGTACAATTTAGTAACTTTTTGTGCATTGTTCCATAGTGCTTATCTGAATGACTGGACCAATTCCAAGATTCTCCCATTAATGTGTCTATTTTCCCTGCAACCCCTCCAATATTTGTCATTTTGCTTTTTTGTCAACTTTGTCAAATTGATGGGTATAGGATGTAACTTCAGAGTTGTTCTAATTTACGTTTCTCTAATTATTAGCAATTTGGAGTATTTTTTAATATGGCTTTTGATAGCTTGGATTTCTTTCCTTGAAGTGCCTATTTGTGTGCTTTGACTATATGCTGGGGAATGGCTCTTACACTTATAAATTCAAGTCAGTTCCTTATGTATCTTAGTAATGAGACCTTTTTCAGAGAAAGTTACTACAAAAAAAAATTCTAGTTAACTGTTTTTCTTCCAGTCTTCTCTGCATTGGTCTTGTTTCTGCAAAGACTTTTAAAGTTGTATGTAATCAAACTGTCTACATGACACTTTATAATGCAAACTATTATAATGTCAAGCTGTTTTGATGATGTGAACTATAATTAATCTTTATAACACATTACCTTTAAAGTACTTTCACATTTGTAAGTAAATTTTAAATTTTAGGAAATAACTTTGTTAGTAAAATGTCCACAAAATGTCTCATTTTGTCTGTTTTAAGCAGACTGTTGCTGAGTCATTTTTCAGTTTTCTGACTCTTTGTGACCTCATTTGGCGTTTTCTTGACAGAGATACAGGAATGGTTTGCCATTTCCTTCTCCAGCTCATTTTACAGATGAGGAAACTGAGACTAGTAGGGTTAAGATTTGCCCAAGGTCGTACAGTTAGTGTTTGAGGCCAGATTTGAACTCCGGTCTTCCTGACCCAGTACTTACCCACAACACCTAATACGTCTAATGCAGCTAGCTGCCCTTACATAGACTAATGGTCTGTATAAAGGGCATAATTATACAATCTGAAGGTGCTCTTGTGTTATTATATATTATAGGTAGTGCATCTAAATATCCCTAATATAGAAATACAAACTAATATTAGCTCACATTTTTTTATAATGCCTTACCAATTTACAAAGCATGCCCCTATATTTTATAAATGAGGAAATTGTTTGTCACATGCCTAATTAGTTTTAGAACTGGGCCTTAATTAGTCCTGTTCTAAGTATGTACATATATAAAGAAAAATCCAACTCAACAGAATGTAATAGGTTGTTCTCTGTCAGGGGTCAGTATCAATTTGGCTTGTTTCTTTTCTTTACTTCAAAACAGATTCACATAGGGAAGGCATGTAAAAATTAGTAAATTTTTGTGGATCAAGTTTATTGAGCTTAATTACAAGATATTTTATTACATATGTTTAAATCCCACCAACATGGTAGTCATTTTATACTTAACCAGAATAGTATGTGTAGTTTGGAGTGGTTAAAAGACAAATTTATTCATAAATTGTTTTAAAGTGATATGTAGGGTGAATGTATTGTCATTTTTTTAAAGATAAAAGATAAATTGTTTTCTTATGTAAATATTTTGTTAAATTCTTAACTTTTCTATTGTCTTAATTCCATTTGGTTTCAGAGCATGCTGTGGTCTTTTTAAGAGGCAATAAAAATATTTTAAAACCATTATAAGTTTATATTATTAGAATAACACAACACAGGGCCTACTACTTAGAGCCTTAAAAGACATAAGATATGTTAGTTTAACACCATTGCCTGAATGTAAAATTTCCACAAAAGTGTTCAGAGATAATTTTAGAGACCCTCTATGCCTTTCTTTTTGTTCCCTGAAGCCAAAACCTGGGTTTTTTTGGGGGGGGGGGGCTAGGCAATGTGGTTAAGTGACTTGCCCAGGGTCACACACCTAGTTAGTGTCAAGTATCTGCTCTGAGACTGGATTTGAACTCAGGTCCTCCTGACTCCAAGGCCAGGTGCTCTATCTACTGCCCCACCTAGCTGCCTCTTAAAACCTGGGAATTTTTATCAGAACTACTGTAATTGATTATTACAAGATTTCATAAGGAATAATGAAAGACAGTGTTGTGTAGTAGAAAGAACATTAGATTTGGTCAGGTGACCTAGGGTCATGTGTTAAATAGAAATTATGAGTATATTACTGCTTTGTTTTTTTTGAGCCTCAGTTTGCTTATCTGTTGATAATCAAGTTAGCGAATGTAAACGTTTTGTGTTCATAAAATGCTATTTAAATGTGAGCAGTATAATCAGTTAATGGAAGTGGTCTTTGCGTCTTAAAGTTTTGTTTGCTACAGAATATTTGCTCTTTGTTATAGTGCTTGAAAATCTTGCATTTCTTAAATGAAGAGAAATGGAAGACAAGGGTGTTACAGAATTAAGAATAATTGAGGTACTGTGACATTTTAGTCATCAGTGTTGTGGTTACACACGTAAGTGTGTGTGTGTGTGTGTGTGTTGTACTGCTTGCAGTTTCAAAATCTTAAGAGAATTGATAATTATGTTTGAGTAGTGAAATTATTGACTTGCTTTTTTGGTTTCATTAGGGGATACACAGCTTTAGGTTAAAGGAACAGGAAAAGTCAAAAGCAGTATTTTCAGAATTGAAAGCTTATTAGTTCTTTAATTTCGTCTGGTTTAACTACTCTGTAATTTGCACTGAAACAAAGAGAACAATAAGAAGTCTGCACTTACCTCTAACTTCATCCTTGACTAACTGATTAGCTCAAGCCAAGGACTTTTAAATCTGCTTACTGGTAATAGATTTTTTCTTTTCTTTTTTTTTCAATTAGTTAATTTTTAACATTCATTTAAAATTTTTTTTAATGCGTTCCAAATTGTCTCCCTCCCTCCGGCCATTTTTTCATTCATTGGGAAGGCAAGCAACATGATTAAGTTATAGATTTTCAAAGTAGACCTATGTCAAATCTTAGTCTCAGAGATATGCATTTTAATTATTATGCCTTTTGTGAAAAATAAGATCTTAACTATATAGTGTTTCTGTTTTTGTTGGTATGTAATTTATAAGATTTTGGTATTTGTTTCCTAATAGAAGTTCTTGCTAGTATTCTCACTGGATCTGTTCTCTATAGATTATAAAAAAAGCTACTGTTGTTGGGTTGTTGTTTTTTTTAATGACATCACTGTTGGAGCACTTCTAAACCTAAGAATGAGCAATCCTATGTTAGATAAGAGGCTTTCAGTGCAGAGCAGTCTAAAAACATTTACAAAAAAATTTAATAATCATCAAAAATATTCAAATATCTGACCAAGAATTTTAATAAACCAACATAGTTTTTGTTTAGAAAGATTTAAAATATATATGCACATACACACACATTTTAAGAAAATCATCCTAATTTTATTTCCATGACTTTGCATCAGTTTTTCTTAGATTTTGTGGTTGCTATTGTTGTTTAGGTAGCTGTAATCATCATTTCTGTTTTAAGAGAAAAATCCCAAAACATTAAATCCTTCTCAATTGTAGTTGTTTCCATTTTGATAGTGGCTTCTAGGTTTGTTTTAATGGAGAAAATTATTTGAATACTCAACAGCAAAAAATTAAACTCTAGATTGTAGTGTGTTGTAGTGGGAAGAAA